AACATTGATTCTGGATCATTCATTCATTGTTATTATTATTATTATTGCAAGAGGAATAAGATTGGGGGAAGTTGGAAGGAGGAGGAAGGTGGAGAGAGAAGGGGGAGTTGTCATTTGTCTTGCTGCTGTACTTCTTCTTCTTCTTCTTCTTCTTCTTCTTCTTCTTCTTCTTCTTCTTCTTGTTTCTCTCTCCTCTGGTCCATATCTCTTTGCAAGTGCTTTAATTTCTTTCGCAATTTGGTGGCATTGTCTTCCATTGTGAATTGCACTTGGGAAATGACCAGGATCGTAACATTGCTAAAAAAAGAAGCGATCTGGAAGTGGGACCAAGATTGTACATCGGCCCTAAAGAAGTCGAAGCGGACCTTGATAGAGTACCCAATCCTCAAAGTAGCCGATCCATCCTTGCCCTTCATTGTCACCACTGATGTCAGTCAGTATGGTATAGGTGTTGTTCTACTGCCAGATGATGGCAATGGGTACAGACCCGTAGAGTTCATGTCTGCTAGGATGCCTTCAGAGAAGGTAACGACATCTTCCTACGAGAGGGAACTCTACGTTCTCAAAGTCTACTGGAAGCATTACTTGCTTGGGAGGCACTTCAAAGTCTACTTAGACCACGAGACGTTAAGATGGCTGAAGACGCAGGCCAAGATGACACCTAAGTTTACTAGGTGGGCCACAAAAATAGATCACTTTGACTTTGAGCTCAAGCCTGTAAAAGAAAAGTACAATGTAGTTGCAGACGCTCTAAGTAGGAAAGCCGATTACTTTGGAGCGGTAGTACACTATCTGGACATAGGGAGAGACCTGCAACAGTATGCGCAGAACCCTATTTATAGCGACCTCTTCAAGAAAGTTAAGAAGTCCCCAGAATCTGAACCAGATTACCGCACTACATATGGGTTGTTATTCGAGAAGACTAACGTAGCTGATCGACTATTCGTTCCTAACAGTGAGGAGATCCATAGTTTGATCCTAAGGGAATGCCACGACACAAAGGGACATTTCAGTTGGCAAAAAACATTAGCCAACCTCGTTCGCGCGTATGCATGGCCTGACATGAAGGCTGACTACATAGAGTACACCACCCGAAGCTTCCACGTGGACGTCGGAGACAGCGCGTGCACGCCTCTGACGACCCGGGTCAGTCCTTCAATCCTCCTCGGGGAACCTATATTGCAAGTTTCCGATCTGGCTGATGATTTGGAACCCCCTCATACCTTGTAGGAGGGAACTCTCTCCTTACGAACACGTTATCAGCAAACGGAACAGTATTTAGACGTTTCTGTTTTTCCACCCCGATCGTTACTAACGACAGGAGCCTCTATCGCCTTGATTAAAGAAGAGGCGGAAGCACCGGTAAATGATGTACCCAATCTGTTGCAAGAAATGACGGATGTTACAGGGCTAACTGTGGAACCAACCTCGGTTGGTTCAGAAATTGACGCTGAAACTAAAGAAACAGAGATGATCAGCCCTGCTGAGTCCCAGATGATAGCAACTGTCTTCTCTGTTTGCACCAGTAGTTCCATTTTTTCTAGTGTCCATGATCGACGGGAACGGCCGGTTGATTGGATTGATATGCCCCTTAAGATTTCCGGGGAATCTACAATCACCTTGCCAGGTCACGTCCCCGCAGAACTTCGGAAATCATTAATTTGTGTGTTAAATTGCTACGAAGAAGTATTGAGCATACACAATAACGACATCGACCTAACTAATGTAATTGAGCATGCCATTCTCACGGGAGATCATCCACCCATTAGTTGCGCTCCCTACCGATACTCGCCAGCTCAATGAGCTGCTGCTTTTCAGCGGATTAAGGAGTTCGAAGGTAATGGATGGATCCAACCTGCTATAGGTCCGTGGTCTTTTCCCGCAGTAATCGTACCCAAAAAGGCCGGAGGGATTCGTATTTGTATTGATTATCAAAAATTGAATGATATCACGATTAAAGATGTGTACCCCCTCCGCCGGATTGATGAATTGTTGGATGCGATTGGGAGTGCTCGATTTTTCAGCAAGTTTGATGTTCGCCATGGATTCCATCATCTTCTTGTCCGAGAAGAAGATCGTCCGAAAACCGCGTTTGTGCTTTTCGAAGATACGTGGGAATGGATTCGATGCCCAATGGGTATCTGCAACGCCCCTGCAACTTTTCAGCGGGCCATGAACATGGCTTTTCATAATTTCGTGCGGAAGACTCGCCTGGCGCAGAGCATCATCAACTACTGCGTGATTATGTACATGGATGACATCTTGGTGTATTCGAGCTCCTACGACGAACACGTGCAGCACATCGAATGGGCACTACATGTGTTACGAGATGCAGGTTTCAAGGTTGAGAAGTGTCAGTTTTTCCTCACCACCATTTCCTTCCTGGGGCACGTGGTGATAGACAAAGGACTCCAATCAGAGCCGCAGAAGGTGGCTGCTGTCACGGACGCACCGGTGCCTACGACTATTACGCAAGTTCGTGCCTTTCTGGGCCTAGACTCGTACTACCAAAGATTTATCAAGGGCTTCGCGGCGATTGCGGGACCCCCCACAAATCTGTTGCGCAAGGATCAGCCGTTGATCTGGACACCGGAGTGCGATCTAACGTTTTCCAAACTCAAGGCTGCTCTCATTTTGGCTCCGGTCCTTTTAAGACCGGATCCCGAAAAACCTTTTGTTCTCATCACCGACTGGCAGCCAGAGGTGATTTCAGCGATCCTTGCCCAGGTGGGACCGAGCGGACTCGAGACTGTAGTGGAGTATGCGGCCAAATCAGTGCCTGCCTGCAAGCGCAATTACGCCGCTCCAACGGGTGAATGTTATGCGGCTCTCTGGGGAATCAGTCACTTTCGTGCTTACCTGTACGGGCGAAAATTCACCCTGGTGACTGATCATGAGCCCTTCTTGGCTCTGAAGAAGTCGAAGGATTACTCGGGCATGATCGGTCGATGGGCAACGGTACTGCAGAGCATGGACTTTGACATTCCTCATCGAAAGCACAAGAGACACGGAAATGCGGACGAACTGACACGACTGCACCGGCCTGAGAAGGTTCCAAAGGGTGGGGAGGTAATTCCGTGGAACGAACCCGAACAGGAGATCGGACCTCGGTACGGCCAAGTGGAGATCTTATCAAAGCAGTAAGTGACACGAGGACTAATTGTTCTGTTCTGCTCTCCCTGTATCCCCTCCTCCTCTGCCATCATGACTATCCCACTCGCCTCCGCAATCCCTTCTTCTCTTACTAACTCTGCCCCTCTCACTTCCTCGGCTTTCTTCGCCACCCTTTCCGATAAATTCTGCTATTTTTGCACGTGTATTGCACAAGTTTATGGGGTCGATTGTCATCCCTTCGAGACCGGATTTGTCGATTGGGTAGAATGTGCCACGTGTGTCAACCGTGCGCTCGGGGCCTGCGTTCGATATCGGACGAGTAGCAAGGAATGGAGGTGCCCCCTGTGTGGAACAAACAAGCTCCCCACGGAGGTTCGATTCGAGGCCGCCTGTACGGACGGCCCTGAATACGATGAAAAATACCGACGAGCAGAGGTTTGGACGGATAAAATTAGCGGGATTATCGTCGGCCCACCTCACCAAATACGACAGACGTAGGGCAACCGAGAGATATCTCGGGACTATCGATGGATCAACGGTCATTTGGAAAAGCGTAAAACTGATGGGTCAGGTTCGTGGTTGACAGTTCCCCATCCATTCGAGAGATACGATTGGATCCGATCTGCTCACGAAGAACAGGCCGCTCATTTCGCGATACGTGTTACGGAGGTAACTGTAGACCAGAACCGATGGTTCCGGTCCAATATACGAGATGACGTCAAGTACATTGTCGCTAATTGTCTGGTCTGTGCCGCTGATCGTGCCCCTATACGGGGACTAAACACGATCGTACCCACGGAAGTAGAGCGTCCTTTCCAGCGAGTCAGTATGGACACGACCTATATTGACGTGCCACCTGGCCCAAACCGCTGTGAATATTCCATCCTGTTAGTTTTAATTGACCATTTTTCCAAATACATCGAAGTCTATCCTTGTAAGACCCGAAAGGCCGTCGAAATAGCCACATACATCGAACGATTCCTCTATACCCATCTAGATACGGAAGAAATTCTAGCTGACAATGGGTCGGAATTCAAAAGAGAGGTAGAGGAACTGCTTGCGCGAAGGGGCGTCACGCTTCGACATACGGCACCCCACGTGTCCTAGTCGAATGGGTTGGCCAAGAATGCCATCCATATGATTAAAACCGCCCTTCGCAGGAACTTAGCGGCACACGACACGCGTCCTTGGCCCGAGATCGTATATCAGATCGTCGGGATCCACCGGGCCACCCCTCATGAGTCTACAGGGTTCACCCCCTTTCAGCTTCGAACTAATAGCCTCCCCTGTGTCGATTACCGAGGTTACTCGGAAATTGCCGAAGCAGGGGGTAGAGACACGCGTGCAGCTCTCAAGGCAAAGGCCAAGAGATACATCGAATTAATGGAACGGGTCGTCCCGAAGGTAGGCCGGAAAAGACAAAGGATGACCGAACTGGCCCACGGGAGACAGGTCCATAGCTACGAGGCCCGGAATGGAAATGTTTGGCCCTAGTACCAATATAAATTAGGGGACCTAGTGCAGGTACGTAAATGTGCACGCGACTGGAAACTCGCTCCCAAGTTCTCTGGCTGTTTTCTCGTTGTCGAACTCGGACCCAACGACGCCAACACAGTGCGCATCGCGCCTGAGGCTAGTGCCAGCCATAGCTCTGTCCCCATCGTCCGGCATACCTCCTACCTCTGTCTCCTTCCTCCTTCCGATCTCCCTCCCTCTTCTTCCTCGGAAAGCAAGGAGAACGACGACCTAACTTTCTCCCGTTTTTCTCCCTCATGTCCTTCGCCCTCCTCTCCGACCTCGCCATAAGTTTTATCACGGAGTGGGTTCTTGACATTCAGCTGTTGCAGCCACGTGGCCACATCTCAGAGATTCGGCAAGTTTGTCACCCTCGGCTCAATGCGGATCTTCGGCGTTTGATGCGATTCTTCTGCGACAAAGGTATCTGTGTCGCCGCCCTGTTTCGAATCGAAGGAAGTCCTCGCGCAATAGTATTCACGGAGGTTACCGCAGTTCATCGACGAGCGGGTCCCAGAACGAGCCACGTCACCACGGTGGCAGCATTCACCGGCGACATCAGCTCGGTCAATCCACTGTGGCATACCGCGATCTTGGCCTTGCTGCGGGAGTGGACGGAGCTAGTGTCTAACGTGTGGCAGCACGTCCTCGCCCGATAGGGGTATAACATCTTCCCGATCTTTGCATCGGATCTTGACAGTATTCGCCGATCACCGCGCGTGCGGCCAATTGTGATCCCGACCATCGTCCCCTTCCCCCATCCCCAATGAACCACGCTGCTCTTCTCGCTCCTCTCTCTATCCTTGGTCTCCCCTCTCTCTTCCCCACTCTGGCAATCCGATCTTCACCCTTCTCTTTCCTTCTCGTTCGAGCCTCGTTCAGTCCCTCTTATCAATCCTGGACATTGGCGATTGTGGCGCGAAACTTTTGAGGAGTTGTCCTTTTGCTTGGCCAAAGTACAGGTGACGTGGACGGGCACTAGTGAGCATCCCACGTGGATCGAGAATCCGGAGCTGCTGATCATACAGGCTTGGAGGACTAACGTGGAAGGAGATCTTCTTGGCTTTCTCTTCGGATCGGTACGACCAGGTCGATGCCACCTAATTGCGCAGGAGCTTATCGCATCGATCGTGCAATTGGCAGACGATCTCTCGCCCGACATCTATTTTCAGAGTGACGACTGTCCTGCTCCGTACATTTTCGAGCGATCATTGGATCCGTACCTACAGTGGACCACGTGCTTGGAGGAACCTAGGGACGAGGATACCCTACCATCGCGGCAGGAGTATCTGAAGCCGTACGAGATCTTCCCTCACGCCTTCTATCCGAGGGCAGAGGAAGTGGTGATCGACGACGACGACGACGAGGAAACATCGGAAGAGGGAAGCTATAGTGAACATAGCGAGGGCGAGCTGAGCGAAGGAGAAGAGGAGGAAGAAGAAACCGGATCCGAGTGGGAAGCCTTGCCGGAGGAAGCGACGGGTACGGGAACGGAGGTGGAAGATCTGGAAGCGGCGCGAGAGCGCGAAGAAATTGCCACCGGGAAGCGCCAGCTGGAGTTCGCCAGCGAAGTTAGCCTGCGCGTCGGTAGCGATCCGACCAGGGATCCAGAGCCGCCGAAGCCCGAAGATGGCGACCCTGCAGCCGCCACCTCAAGTACCACGCGACGGAGACGGAGCCAATCCCCCTCCTCCTCCAGCCCCACCCGTCCCCCAGTTCGCCCACGTACCGATGCGGGCGATAGGCCTTCGTCCTCGGACGCTGTTCCACCGACCCCTTGACTTCCTCACCCTTGAGCAGATCCGTACCCCCGTCACCTTCCCTTCCCATCCTCGCTTCCACGATTTCTATTCTACCCGTCTACTCGCCACCGTCCACCCCCACGCCTCCCTTCAATCCGCTGCCCCCACGTTCTGCTGGCATCTCCTGCTGTTCAGCGCTGCATGGGAGCGATGCAACGTAGTAGAAGTTTACTGCGTTGCCACGGGGACAATCCCCGCTTGCCGCCACTTCGAGATCTTTCGAGCGGCGCTTTTCCGCTTCCTCTCTTCCTTCTATCGCGACTACCTCGCTTCCCTTCCCCGCAGCGGCAATTATTTCCCCCGCTTTCACCGAATCATCCGATATGAGGAGCTCCCGGTGACGATGGAATGGATGAATCGCTTCTTACCCCCACTTCCTCCCCGTCATCCCCGCGAGATCCCCTGCATGTACCGCCTCTACTGGCCTATTCCAACTAGGTGGTAGATCCCACTCACTTGACCTGCCCTCCCCTTCCTCTCCTCCCTTCATCGGCACGGATCAGTAAGCTTCACGAAGATCACACCATCGACGATGACGTCAACCTACGCGCTGATTCGACGAACGGCAACGAACAGGGGTGTAGAGCACACGGAGATCAGGAGGACCATGATGGCGTCACCTGGATGATCTCCACGAGGCAGAGAGTTGCATATGACAGGGCTGCGGAGATCTTGCCACGGATGTTGTCGCCATCTCATCCGCGACCCAGTTATTGTTCCTTGTACTTCTTTTGCTCTAATGATATGCTTGGCTCCTCATGCCTCACTCTGTTCTCCCCTCTTTCTTTCGCCATGCCATGCAATCAGGAAATCGCATAATTTTGGAACACCCTGTGCGTCACATATGTGACGAACCACTTCCCAAACCCGTGCCATCTTTCGTACCCTTTCTTTTGCTTGTATCATACCAACCCCAGGAAAACCCCGTTTTGATTTCTTGCTTTCGGTTGCTGCATTTTTCTTTTTTTTTAGAGTTTTTTCGACTTCTGGGTTCTGTTTTTCTTTTTGCAAAGTCGGGAAATACATGGGAATTTACGTGCGCTTTAGCGCGGGCACTGGGAATAGGGCTCAGCGGTTGGGAATTACGGGATAAGCGGAACTTCGACGTGTCCTTTTCGAGTGTGTGAATGTTCTTGGTCGAGTCGCAGAAAACTTTCGGAATTTCGTCCGGATACGAATAGGCGTAGGATTTTTTTTTCCCGCGTCAATCTTTCGCGCTCGTATATGGTGATTTCAATTTTAAATTAGGATAGAAGCAAGCTGTAACTGTTTCGGTGCCTTTTTCTGTTTTTTTGTTGACGGCGCCGTGCATGCAGAGCTTCCTCCCTTCTGGCCCCTTGTAGCGCTCCCTCCCACGCTCCCTTTCCTTCTTCCTCCTCTTTCTCTCTCCCCGTAACTGTTTCTTTCTCTCCTACCCCTCCCCCATCTTGCTGTTTGCGCGGCCACTTCCCTTTCTTGATCGTCTGAATCTTGGACCCGTCTTGCGCCACCTCTCGCGCCTTTTCTCTTCTCACCCTCTGAGTCTGGCGTACGATGCCTGGTCGATCCCCCGATAACTCCCGCTCGCCAATCAGGTGCGTGGATCGATAGGACCTTCCTWTCGCGCGACGAATCTGATTGGTGGAACCTTGAGTTCCGAGGGATCAACATGGCGTTCTCGAAGCGCTCTTCTCAAAGTTTTCTCCTCCTTCTCCTCCTTCTCCTCCTACACCCCCGCCTTCCCGTCGTTCTCTCCCCCTTCTATCTCCTTTCTCGCAACCATAAAACCCGCAAGCGCACCTGCAAATCTCTCTTACGTTCTTCACTCCTAAGCCAGCTTCAGGAAAGCAGTGGCTAGGCAGAGTGTGTTGATGCGCGTCAGAAAGTCCTGTCTAGCTGGCGATAGGCTGGCCGGTTGCGCGTTGAATCGCCATGACGGACTGTGGGATCTGGGCGAACCGCGTCGAGTTTACGACAGTGGGGTGATGATCGCAATGGTGGGAGTTAGCACTCAGCGGCCGGGATCGTCAGTGCAGGTTTGAGGATCGATGATTGGAGGTGAGTGAGTAATTGGCTGGGGGCCATATTGGAATTAACGGCAAATGCACCTTTTTTGTTGCGGATCTTTACCTTTGGCGTGAGTGCATGGCGGTCATGTCGAATGTCTCTCTTCCAGATCTGGTCATCACCTATCTCGACTCTCTTCCCCCCCCCCCCCTCATTTCTCTACTTTTGAATAATGATGTGTCTCGATTGAATGTCTCTCGCTTTCTCTCCTGATTAGGAGCGAATCGGTGCGCTTCCCTTGCTTAAAAGAACTTCTTCCGGAACTCTTCCATTAGTTTGCTGGGTAATCCTCCTACGCAAGGACCCCGCCTTCTTGTCTTGTGAACGGTGGATGCGTGTGTACTGTGCAATAGGACCCATCTTTTCCGATGCATGTCTCATTTTCGCACCTTCCACAGTGAAACGCATGTATGAAAATGTGCGACTCTTTTTCGTGTTGATTAGACGATCGTCGCCGGGATTTTGTTCGAGAATGCAAGAGTGTTTAGATCTGTAGCTCTGAAAGAGCTGCGCATGCCATCTGCCTTATGCTGCACGACATCAGCAGCCGAACCACACGCCGCGTTGACTCGCTAAACCCCAGCCACGAATAGATCTCTCGGCTATATGCATGCTTTAAGTTGAGGAGACACTTTCTTTTCACTCTCTCTCTCGTATCGAAAGGGATTGATTGTAAGTTGCGCAAGCATTTTTCTTCCCTTTATGACACTCCTCTCAAGGTTTTTGCAATTGATTGATATGTGGACTGACCAGTACCCTCCGATCAGGCGCCAGCCTCCCGTATCCCCTATTCCGACACGGCCTTTTCCCTATAACGAGGAAAGGACACGTGTATGTGAGTGGGACGTACGAGAAGCCGTCGCACGAATCGGCGGACACTACTTCTTCCCTCCCGAAAATCGTTGTTCTGGATTCGTAGATGCGGGCTTTGTCATTATCGATACCCACTTCCCACCCTACTCGATACTGCTCCCATTTAACGAATTGATCGTCATTCCGTGGACGGCAGTAGCGCCTCATTGGCCTCGAACCTTGTGCACTAAGTGCGAGCGTTTCGATCGCTACGAATTGAAAGGCTTTCACTACCGGATGTGGAGTGAAGACGAGCACAAGGAGAGAGCCACACGACTGAGACCATCCACGTCAGACTCGGAACTAACCAGCGAACGATGACGAGACTTGATACGGAAACGGGACACGCGAAGCGTGCCAAAGCCTTTCCGTTCTAAACGACGGGCCATAGCCCGATGGGAGGCGCGACACTATTTTTTGGATTGAATTTGGATTCTTCCCTCCTCCCGCCTTGTCCGCGCGCGTTCCGCGACGCGCGAAAAACGATCGACTTGCTTCATCGGACCCATACGGGGGAGTTCAGTTTCGTCTGTGTCCCCACACTCAATTTCCAAAAATCCTTGGCACACCCCATCTTGCTGTTTTTCTGGGCCTCTTTCCGTATGGCTAACACTCCGAACGGAAGATAACACAGGGCGTGAGGTTGCGCGTCACACCCACGCCAAAACCTTTTCGGTTTTGGCCGCCCAATGTTCGGCCGTTTGGTACTACCGGCCCATACAACGTTCCCCTTGGTGAAAGGCGCCTTCGCGCCGTGGCGACATCTCCTTAGGCCTGTTTTCACCGGTTCAAGAATTTGGCTTTTTTTTGGCGCCAGATTCAAGAACCGGTAGGGCCCTTCTTTTTCAAAATCGCGTACGCGGGCCTCATTCGATATGTCAGAGTTACCACGCCCAACCACTTTTACATGAAAATGAATCTGGCGCAGTTTATGCGCCAGATTCATGATCCGGTAGGGCCCTTGGAGCGACGCGTGGGCCTGTAGTACCCCACATGCAAGTCATTGGGCCGGTAGTACCCAACGACTAAACTTTGGGCGGCCAAAACCGAAAAGGTTTTGGAGTGGGCGTCTTCTACCGATTATCCCAGCGTGTTATGCATGCCACGTGTCATCCCTGGCATGCCAACACAACAACTCTATAGAGTCTACCACTTCAGCGTCAAGGACTTAAAAGGTCTTCGAGGGGGGGATGCCCCATCAACAATGCATGTCTACAACATACACAACACTGCCATGCCACGTCAGACCATGCCTTGCCAGAATGTCACATTAGCATTCCACGTAGGCAGTGCGCCACATCAGCGGTTCTCAACTCACATTTCTCTCCCTCTAGACCAGCACCACATGAGCCTATTGCCAACGAAACTCTTGCCGGTATCTCGAAGTCTTCTGTGTAGCCACACCATCATCTTCAATGGAGGTTGCCCGCATGTGCGGTACTCAACGTCTAGACCTGCGGTATTGACCACGCACGTTCATAAACGTGT